TTGCTTAAATTATTTTTTACTAGGATGGAATTTGGGTACTTAGCTGATATATGCTTCAAATATTTTGGAGACCGAGTTACACACTGGATCACGATAAACGAACCAAACCAACAAATAATCGGAAGCTATATAAAGGGTACATTTCCACCAGCCCGGTGCTCCATGCCATATGGGAATTGTAGTCAGGGAAATTCGGAAACTGAGCCATTTATAGCTGCGCATAACATGATCCTTGCACATGCAAAGGCAGTTCAAATATACCGAACCAAATATCAGGTAACAAACTGATATAATTAAATGTCAATATGATTTAACTATTTTATTTATCATATATAAATATAAGTTCGATATATGCGTAGAAAGCGCAAAAGGGAATCATCGGCATTGTGGTGCAAACATCATGGTTTGAACCCATAAGCGATTCCGTTGTGGATAAAAAAGCTGCAGAGAGAGCAATATCATTTTATTCGAATTGGTATGTTCTAGTACTATATATTAAACCAAATATCCGATTTATATATGAATAATTCGATATTTACAATTCAAAAAAATCTTATGTATTGTGTACTAAAATACCAGGATTCTAGATCCCGTTGTATATGGGAAATATCCTGAAGAAATGGTGAATATACTTGGATCTTCTTTGCCTCAATTTTCAAGCAATGAAATGAAGATCCTAAAGAACTCAAAGTCAGACTTTTTGGGTATTAACCATTATACAAGTTACTTCATCCAAGACTGTTTGGTCTCTGCTTGTAATGGTGGAGAAGGAGCTTCTAAAAGTGAAGGATTTGCCCTTAAGTTAGACCGAAAAGGCAATGTTTCAATTGGAGAGCTTGTAAGTAAATTTGAACATATTTTTCTAAAGTTTTTCTTAGACTCCCTATTATATATGATATAGTGATTTATAACATTAGTTTTGAAATGTTTGGATTTTGGCAAATGATAGACCGACGTAAGTTGGCAGCATATTCATCCAGAAGGATTCCGAAAGATGTTGAATTACCTAAAAGATAGGTATCCCAACATACCAATCTTCATCACCGAAAACGGTAAAATACCTCAACTTTTTCATTTACGTATACTTGTTTTTTGGAATGTGTTTTGAACAATTACTATCGATGGTTTTTTCAGGTTATGGACAGTTGCAAAAACCCGAGACGACAGTTGAAGAACTTATGAATGATACAAAAAGAATACAATACATGAGTGGATATTTGGATGCTTTGCAAGCAGCGATGAGGTAATTAATGTGAACTGTATAGTGATCCAAGTCGTTAACCTAGCTATATTTAATCAGTCTTTGAACCAATTCATATGTTTTAAAGGGAACTTAGTAAATAGATATTGAAATGCAGAATAGTCTCATTACTAATTCTTTAGTTAATTTTAATCTCTTTTGTAGGGATGGAGTAAACGTGAAGGGGTATTTTGCATGGTCACTATTGGATAATTTCGAGTGGCTATATGGATACAAGCTTCGATTTGGGCTATTCCATGTAGACTATACAACTCTCAAAAGGACACCAAAGCAATCAGTTTCATGGTACAAGAACTTCATTGAACAGCACGTGAATACAGCAGATCTCATAGATATTTACTAATCAAGAATTAGTTAGTGTTCTTAATCAAAGGAAGTCAAAACTAGGAAGGCTTAGTTAAAAAATTATTCTCGTTCTTTAATGTCTGTGGAATCTATCGTTTGTTTCTTTTGCATGATTTGCTTTCTTAATATTGCACAACATTTATCAAAGATTAATGTTCAGGAAAACTTGGATATATTCTTTTTTTTTTAATGAATGTTACATTAATGTTGATAGTTTGACAATTGTGACCATTGTCAAACGAAAATAGAGGAACGAACGAGAGGATAGAATTGGCTGAGATGGCAAGGTCTTTAAGGGATTTGTGATGCAAACCAAAGTTCCATGCAGTCATTGTAGGTGTAGTCACCTGCAGAGCCAGCCCTGATATTTTCTAGGCCCCAAGCTAAAAAAAATTTAGGGCTTCTTAACCTTCAGAATTT